CTCTCCCACTCCAATGTGGACTCAAGATAAATCCAAAGCCAGAGCTCTCCCATTCCCTCATGGACTGAAGGTAAATCCAAAACCAGAACTCTCCCACATGGACTGGGGGTAAATCCAAAGCCAGGGCTCTCCCATTCCCACATGGACTAGACATAAATCCAAAACCAGAACTCTCCCTACTCCCACAGGGACTGGGGGTAAATCCATAGCCACCCTGAAGCCCCAGGTCCCCTTGTGTCTGATCTTAGCCTTGCTTTAGGGTATTTTGCAGTGCGTGTGGGTAAATTCACTTAATCCCTTGAGAAAAGAAGCCAGCTCCTCCTAAGCCCATCCCAAAGGCAACTGGAGTGGGATTAAAGGGAATGCAGTGTGATGCTGCCATCCAGCAGCTTTCCTTCTGGGATTTGTCCCCTGAGGGTGACCCAGAGCCTGCATCCTGTGTGGGGCAGGGGCTGGAGGAGCAGGCAGCCCCCCTAAATGTTCCTCTGGCTGGGGCACTCACCTCACACCGGGATATTCAGCAGCTGCTGCCCTTCAGGGCTGCACAATGAAATGTGCTGGCTCCCACTGAAGCTGCTCCATGCTGGCTCCCAAAGTGGAGCACTCCTGCTCTGGGATGCTCTCAGGATGGGATAATAATAATTAAAAATAATAATTAAAAAATAATAATTAAAAATTAATTTACTCCATCTCTGCCTCTGCAGAGGTGGGGACAGTCAGGATGTGCCTCAGTTTCCCCTGCCCTGAACAGGGGTAATTGCTGCTTTTGTGGTTCAGCCCCAAATATCCAGCAAAGAGGGGAAGAGAAGGGGGGGAATCATGTGGCGAACAGAGCAGGGATGGGCAGAGAGCTGGGCGGGCAGGAGGGCAGCCAGGCACAGCAGCAGGCTGGCAAGCTGTGCCCCTCTCCCCTGGCTTGCCTGCATTCCCTTGGGGGTAAATTCCCTTTTTGTGAGGGAATTCTTGGCCCACAGGAGGCTGGCAGGGCGGACAGCAGCCCTGGGCACCCCAGCCAGGCAGGGAGCTCCACACGGAGCCTTGGGGGAAAGGACAACCTGAGATGGTTTTACCAGCAGATTTTTAAAAGCTGGGCAGCCTTTCCATCTCTGGATTTGCTCCCTTCCATCTGCCTGTGCTCCAGAATCTCAGCTGTTCTTTCTTCTGCAGAAGTGCTGGTTTTTAGGGAGAAAACAGAAAAACAACCCAACCAAATCCAACCAACAAACAATCCTACAGCCCCAGGCTGGGCTGAGCACTGCTCCCCACACCTCGGGGAGATCCAGGTTGTGCTGGGTGTTCTGTGGGTGCTGTCCCTCTGTCCTGGGTGGGTCCAGCAGCATGAAATCGTTCTGTGCATAGCACAATAATAGTGTCTGTGTAAGAGCAGTTTCACCCATCAAAATAATAACAATAATAATTAAGAATAAATGCCAGGCTTCAGCTTCTGAGTGGTTCCCATGAAAGGGAATGCAGGCAGACTTTGCAAGAGCCTGTATCAGAAAACTCAGTCCTTCAATGAGGGTAAATCAGCCACTTCAGCTCCCCTTGCTCTGACTTGTGTTTATTTTCCCTGTCCCTCTGCCTGTGCTGTTTGCTGCTGGAGGGCTCCTGTCAGTGCAGGGCTCTCCCAGACACAGTGATGCTCTGGATCACTGAAAAGGGATCTCAGAGCTGCTGTGTGGCAGACCAAAGTCATCCCTCCTCATTTTTAGGGGGAATTTGATGTTGAGAGCAGAGGGAGCCCAGGATTGCAGCTGGGGGGTAAAAAGGGGAGGTTAATGGGATTTCACCCTCCACAGTGCCTTCAGTGGCAGTGAAGAGATGCTGCACAACCCTCTCTGGTTCACACTGGTGTCCTCTCCCCCAGAGCAGTACGAGGCTGATTTTCCAGCTGTGTTTACCAGACATCCTGCCAGATCTCCCAGGGTGCTGATTGGAAATGGCAGGGAAGCTCCTTGTGCCTGCAGGGCTGCAGTGCCTGGCAAGAAGGCACAAACCAGTGTGTTTGCAGCCCTGGGCTCCTCAAACCCAGCCCAAAATTCTGCTCAGTGTGTTTGCAGCCCTGGGCTCCTCAAACCCAGCCCAAAATTCTGCTCAGTGTGTTTGCAGCCCTGGGCTCCTCAAACCAAACCCAAAACACTGCCCAGTGTGTTTGCAGCCCTGAGCTCCTCAAACCAAACCCAAACACTGCCCAGGATGTTTGCAGCCCTGGGCATCCCAAACCAAACCCAAAACACTGCCCAGGGTGTTTGCAGCCCTGAGCTCCTCAAACCCAGCCCAAAACACTGCCCTGCACCTGATCCCAATCCCCACATCCTCAGCCTCAGTGCTGGGAAGGAACCCCTGGAGAAGGCAGCGTTCCCTCCTGGGTGATGGTTGAGCCAGAGCCGGTTTGCAAAGGCAGAGGGAGGATGGGACCAGCAGGATTCAGCCCTTCCCCAGCCTGTTGTTGGCCAAAAGCACTCAGCTGGCTTCTCCTGAGCCCTGAGGATCTGTAATTTGATTTTGGCCATGGCTTCAAGCCCTTGGCTAAGCCAAGGCAGTGCAGGTGGGTTGCTGCTCTCCCCAGAGCAGTCAAGGTCCATCTAAAACCCAACCCATTCCTGCATGGGCCAGGGATGGGTATAAATTGACACCAGATGGTGGAACAAGTGGATTTGACCTTTTAATCTTCACTAAATAGCTGTTTGTTGGGTTTGCTTTCCATCTTCCCTTTCCAGACACAGGGAAGGTGGACAGATGTTTTCCAAGTCCCTCTGTTCCTACTGCTGAAAGAGGTTTTTGGCTGGATGTAGCCCTGAGGATGTGAGGGCTGGTGTCCTGGGGGATTTGTGGTATGAACTGAGATCTCTCAGGTCAAATCTACTGCTATGGACAGAAACCTCTAATGGGTTAGAAAAGGACACAGATTTATTCCCTTGGAAATGAGGGATGATCCCAGGATGAGCAGCTCCAGCACAGAGCATCTTTCTAGATCTTCAGGGGCCTAATTTTAAGAAGGCTTTGTGATATTTTTAGCAAAGTTCCCAATGGACTTTCCCCACAGGGTGAACAATTCCCCCCAGTTTCATGGAATTGAAATTGAAGTTGAACCCTTGAGGGGTTCTCTCCTCAATTTCTTGCCTCTGCAGTGACTTCTCTGTGACATGAGTTGCATGGATGTGAGTCATGGCGTGGAGATCTGGCCAGTCTAAATAAACCAGTCTATTCCCTGCTCCCAGCAGCCTTGCTGGGGCCTGCCCTTGGATAATGAGCTGGGGAGGACTTGGGATATGTCTTGTTGAAACAAAACATCTGTTTACGTGGAGCTGCTAGTGGAAGGATAAAATGTGGCAGAATAATTTAAAATAGCCACAAATGCCCTGGGCAAGTGGCTCTTGGTGCAGCAGATATGCTGTATCTCACTCAGCATCTCCCTCATTTGCCAAGAAAACAGCATTTTGTGTCTCAGAAAATGGCATTGTCCTGGCAGTACCATGATGGATGAGCACACAGAGTCAGCTTTGCTGAGGAAATGTATTTTGGGTGAAACTTGGCTATCAGAGAGGGCTCCCACCGAGTCCTTCCACTTTAATTAGGCTCTGAATTGAGACTGCAGGGTGTAATTTGTCTGGGGAGGAGAGAAGCCACTTTCTCTTTCCCAATACCATGTTGTGTAATAGCTGCATTTTTTACTCCTGACTCGGGGCTGTGAGTGGTGCCAAGCAGAGGAGGAATTTTGATGCTCTGATAAGATGTTTACATCAGCCTAAACATCGCTGGCGCTTTTGACATATTAAGTAATCCCTGGTCATCACCAGGCAGGGGATGCTGCTGGGCAAAGTCTTGGCTGTCAAAGTGTTTTAGTCCCAGTTTGTTGCCGGGTTCAAACCCTGTGAGCAGCACAGGCAGAAGTTTTACTGGGTGGTTTTGCTCCAGCAAGGTGTGAGTGAGTTGGTTCCTGACCTGGGGCATGCTTTGGGAATATGCAGAGAACTCTCCAGAATGCTGAGGTTTTCCCCAGGGAATTTCTTCCAGAGGGATTTAGGTGCAAAGGGTTCATGGGAAAGGAGATGCAGCAGTTGGAGGAGGGGATGCAGGGCTTGTCCACCAGCACAAGGTGTAAAGCATCACATACAGGCAAGGCAGCACTGAGTCCATCAGCCCCTTCATAAATGAGGCTGATTTTTCTTTTCAAACAAAACCAATTGCCCTGTAGCAGAGTTTTTACCCAGGCTCTGCCTGCCCATCTCTTCCCCCACAGAACCACATCCTGACCCTGATGTCCATGGCAGCTCGCATCTACAAGCATCCCAGCCTGAGGAACTCCATCAGCCTGGTGGTGGTGAAGGTGCTGGTGGTGGAGGAGGCAGCAGCAGGGCCCGAGGTGTCTGACAATGGGGGGCTCACCCTGCGCAACTTCTGCAGCTGGCAGCAAAGGTTCAACCCCCCGAGCGACCGGCACCCCGAGCACTACGACACCGCCATCCTCCTCACCAGACAGGTCAGCAGCCCAGAGCAGAAGGGAGAGGGCTCAGGGCATCCCTGGAGGGGGAGAAGGGGGTTGATCATGGAGATGGGTGCCCCACTGTGCAAAGAATGCAGCAAAGCAGTTTTGGGGGGGTGTCATTTGGGGTGCAGCCATGTTGCAGGACAAGCTGACTGGTACTGAACATTAATCCAGTTATAAATAAGGAATCCAGCCCAGGGACATAAACCAGGCTTCGGGCTGACTGACAGAGGTCTCAATCAATAACAACTCTTCTAAAATAAAATCATTTGACTGGTTCAGAGTCTAGGGGGTTGTAGAGATTAGACCAATGGCTGTTTAGAGCCAGGAGCTTTGAGTTACTTGTAAGAGCAAGCACAAACAATAAATCAGGCTGTTTGGCTGATGAACAGCTGAGGTCTGTCCTGTGTTCCATATCACATGATATCACAGACCTCTGACGGTGTTCACAGGGGTCCGAGGATGAGGGAAGAAATGAGGATCTGTTTCCATATTTCAGAAGGCTTGATTTATTATTTTGTGATATATATTATATTAAAACTATACTAAAAGAACAGAAGAAAGGATTCCATCAGAAGGCTAGCTGAGAATAGAAAAAGAAAGAATGATAACAAAGGCTTGTGGTCCAGGCTCTCTGTCCAAGCCAGCTGACTGATTGGCCATTAATTAGAAACAACCCCATGAGACCAATCACAGATGCACCTGTTGCATTCCACAGCAGCAGATAACCATTGTTTACATTTTGTTCCTGAGGCCTCCCAGCTTCTCAGGAGGCAAAATCCTAAGGAAAGGATTTTTCATAAAAGATGTCTGTGACACAGACCAGCAGTGGGCTGCTCACACAGATGTTGAACATGGGGCTGCCTTCCCCTGCTGACCTCTCCCCTTGCCTGGCACTCACAGGATTTCTGTGGCCACCAAAGCTGTGACACGCTGGGCGTGGCGGACATCGGCACCATGTGCGACCGCAACAAGAGCTGCTCCGTGATCGAGGACGAGGGCCTGCAGGCAGCCTACACCCTGGCTCATGAACTGGGTAACACTGGCTCCCTTCCCGAGGGGAGGTCTGCTTCTTCCACTCCTGCTGCTGGGAGGGGTCGTGGCACAGCCCAGCGCCAGCATCTTCTGGCTGGGGATCACCCACCGAGCCTTGGGGAGCTTCTGGCATTGACAAAAGGTGGTTTGCACCAACAGAAACACTAAATGCCCAAATTGGTGTAAATTGGTGCATTTCTTCCCTGGAAGGGTTGTTGAGCATTGGAAGGGGCTGCCCAGGGAGGTGGTGAAGTCCCCATCCCTGGAGTTGTTCAAGAAATGCCTGGAGCTGGCACTCAGTGCTCTGGGCTGGGTGACAAGGTGGGGATCAGTCGCAGGTTGGACTTGAGGATTCTGGAGGTCTTTTCCAACCCCAGTGATTTATCTGTTGTGACGAGCTCAGGCATGGGAACAAGCACATCTCTGCCTTGATTTGCCTTTCCTGCATTGACTAATTTTTGCCCAGGTAAGCTGTGGCTGCCCCATCCCTGGGAACATTCAAGGTCAGGTTGGACAGGACATGGAGAAACCTGGTCTAGTGGAAGGTGTCCCTGTAAATGACAGGGAGCCTTAATTCCCTTCCATTCCAAACCATTCTGAGTTTCTAAAAATTTGGGCTGCTTTGCCCTGCACACCTGTACCACCGAGACAGACCAAGCAGGTTTTTATTCCTCCTGATTTATGGAAGCAAATAGCTTTGGCAGACACAGGAGCTGCTTGATGCTTACAGATGGTGCCCCACACCATCTGCTGAGGAGCAGGGGCTGGGCTGGGGAGCTCAGCTGTGCCATCCCTGTGCTCCCCAGGCCATGTGCTCAGCATGCCCCACGACGACTCCAAGAACTGCGAGCGGCTCTTCGGGCCCCTGGGCGAG